GTGGGATTTGGTTTTACGCCATAATCACTCCAGCGCGCGATTGTGTTATTTGAGATTCGGGTGTGGTCAGTCGGGTGTGGTCAGTCTGCCAAGGTTGTACAGGTCGGGGCCTGATGAGATATATATATATATATATATATATATATATATATATACGCACACACACTTTAGGATGTTACTGCACAGTATCGTATGTTCTACAAAAAAAACCTCTTTGTTTTATTATTTATGCAAGAAAAATACAGACTTGCTTTAAATGTTGCAGTTGTTAATTGGCTATAAACTACCGTTTTAAGTCAGAATATAATATATTTTAGAAAAAACATTTTGGGTTTCTTCCAGACTAGAAAAACATCTCAGTACAAGAAAAATAATAGCATATTATGCACCCAATGTATTGTAAATGGGGTAGACTCAAGTAGAAATAAAAAGCACAGATGTCTAATAACATTGCCCATGTGGATTTGATCATGCAGTGTCTAGCTATGTTTAGGTGTCTTTATTGCCCCATATAACATTGGTGTTTAAGTCATAAAAGGTCACAGACAAAGAATGAATTCCGGATGTCCAAGTCTCCGAAAATTATTTAGTGTTTGACAAAATGAGACTTGCAGCAGACTATGTTTTGGCAGTGTAAGCTAATTCAAATCTTGTGATAAAAATCAAACATGAAAAGAGATTTGTTATGATAACTCCCAGCTTGACCTCTTACAAGTGTACTTCTAGTCCAATGTATCTGAGATTTTACATTCAATTGTTTGCATTTGGTATGCTATTGTATTTAATTCAGCTTACTAAAGCTTCCACAGCACAGATCATTTCAGTTGAATGGCATATTGGCATTCCACATATAACATAATAGCGATCCCTTGTACAATTCAATTCACTGAAGAGCAGCTGATGTAATTGTGTTGTCAATTGGCCCAGTACCGTTTAAAAAGTGCTCTTCAGGTTTTCTGACTGATGTCCAGCAAGTTTGTAAATTAAAAGAATAAGACCTACATTTTTCATGCCTCTTCTCTAAGCTATTCTCGTTATAATTACAATGTAATTTATCAATAACAAGAAACAGCTCGTTTAGTGCAGTCTGTGGGTCATGCCCTAAATATCTCAGTCTGCCATCTATAAAACTCTTCCTGATGACTTCATGCCTTTGTAATTCTGAACACTTTGTATCACAATTACAGTATGTTTATGTAATACTGAATACAAAGTTTAGCAAGCATGTAATAAAAATAAAACACAATCAACCCGTTTTCTCTAATTTAGAACAAACTACAACAAACAAAATGTATGGCATTGAAGGAAGTAGGAAATTTAATTTTCACTGCATATTAAATTGCTGCAAAAAAACTATCTTTATTAAATTCTACAACACTAAAATTAAATGAAAAATGATACACGTCAGAACACCATGTAATAAGCAGTCTACCTCTTAAATCATGCCACATAAGAAATATATTACAATAAATGGTGCCGCTAGTTTTCACAGCATACACCACAAACTATATGAACACAAAATCACATTTAAAAACAACCCTGTGTCCCATAGCACAAGCAAGCAATTTGTATACTGTGTATTGTTTACATTACAGCTGAAGTTTAGGTATGGAATATTTCGTTATGCGATCACATAATCACAATGTCAACAAAGCTGTCATGAATGAATCTCATTCATAACAGCTGTGTTTCCTATATAGTGATGCTGTTATTAGCCCACAGCTATCACATGGTACCTGGTCCAATCACAGCACCCTGTTCCATGTTATTAACTGTAGCCAATCACAGATCACTAGTAATCAAAGCTATTATGAATGTAACATTGCAATGATGTTACACAATAAAAAAAAAGAGAAGAAAAACCTGATCACCCCCCCCCCCCCCCCCGCCCCCTTCCTCAAGAGTAGTACAGTGTTACTATAGTGACATTGAACTACTCTGATGAAAGTGTGTAAAAAAAAGGAAAAAAACATTTTAAAAAGAACATTAAAAAGTAAAAAGAAATTGAATACAATTTTTTTTTTAGTTTTTTTTTTAACATACTGTCACCAGTCAGTGTCATATACCATGCCAGTCATATGATGATGCCGTACTGCACTGGTGACAGTATGTAAAAAAATAGTGGAAAAAAATGTATTTAGTTTCTTCATTTTCAAAAAAGTTGTGAAAAAAAAAATTACAACTTAAAAAAACACATCATACCTCTTACTAAATACCTTAGACTGTCTACTTTCCAAAAAAGGGTCATTTGGGTGGTATTTGTACTGTTCTGGCATTTTAAGGGCCTCAAGAAATGAGACAGGCTGCCAGTACATCAGAACTGATCAATTTTCAAATACAGTTGCAAGAAAAAGTATGTGAACCCCTTGGGATTACGTGGAGTTTTGCATGAATTGGGCATAAAATGTGCTCTGAACGTCATCTAAGTCAAAACAATAGAAGAACACAGTCTGCTGAACATAATACTACACAAACATTAGATGTTGCCATGGTTTTAATTGCACATAACATGTAAACATTCACAGTGCAGGGAGGAAAAAGTATGTGAACCTTTGGACTTAATAACTGGTTGACCCTCCTTTGGCAGCAATAACCTCAACCAAACGTTTCCTGTAGTTGCAGATCAGACCTGCACAATGACTGGAGTCATTTTGGACCACTCCTCTTCACAAAAACTGTTTCAGTGTAGCAATATTCTTGGGATGTCTGGTGTGAATCGCTCTCTTAAGGTCATGCCACAGCATTTCAATCGGGTTGAGGTCAGGACTCTGACTGGGCTACTCCAGAAGGCGTATTCTGTGCTGTTGCAGCCATTGTTTTGTTGAATGACTTGTATGCTTTGGGTCATTGTCCTGTTGCATCACCCATCCTCTGCGGAGCTTCAGTTGGAGGACAGATGGTCGTAAACGTTTTCCTGCAAAATGTCTTGATAAGCTCTGGAATTCATTTTCCCAAAAAGACAACAATCCGTCCAGGCCCTGAGGCAGCAAAGAGCCCCAAACCATGATGCTCCCTCCGCCATGTTTCACAGTGGGGATGAGGTTTTGATGTTGGTGTGCTGTGCCTTTTTTTCTCCACACATAGTGTTGTGTGTTCTTCCCAAACAACTCAATCTTGGTTTCATCTGTCCACAGTATATTCTGCCAGTAGTGCTGTGGAACATCCAGGTGCTCTTTTACAAACTTCAAACGTGCTGCAATATTCTTTTTGGACAGAAATGGCTTCCTCCGTGGTGTCCTCCCATGTACTCCATTCTTGTTTAATGTTTTCCTTATTGTAGATGTGTCAACAAAAATGTTAGCATGTGCCAGAGATTTCTGTAGGTCTTTAGCTGACACTCTGGGATTCTTCTTTACCTCATGCAGCATTCTGCGCTGTGCTCTTGCAGTCATTTTTACAGGATGACCACGCCTAGGGAGAGTAGCAACAGTGCTAAACTTTCTCCATTTGTAGACAGTCTGTCTTACGGTGGACACATGAACATCAAGGCTTTTGGAGATACTTTTGTAACCCTTTCCAGCTTTATGCAAAGTCAACAATTCTTGATCGTAGGTCTTCTGAGAGTCTTTTCTGTAGGCATGGTTCACATCAGACAGTGCTTCTTGAAACCAGTAAACCAAAACAGGTGTGTGTTTTTTAAGGGCAGGACAGCTGTCAGCAACACATCCAATATCATCACACTGATTGGAGTCAAGGTTGGCTCACTCCTGGCTCCAATTAGCTCTGGGAGAAGTCATTAAGCTAGGGCCTCACATACTTTTTTCCCTGCACTGTGAATGTTTACATGTTATGTGCAATTAAACTATGGCAACATCTAATGTTTGTGTAGTATTATGTCAGCAGACTGTGTTCTTCATTGTTGTGACTTAGATGACGTTCAGAGCACATTTTATGCCCAATTCATGCAAAACTCCACGTAATCCCAAGGGGTTCACATACTTTTTCTTGCAACTGTATAAATACCATAGTTTGTAGACGCTATAACTTTCACACAGACCAATTAACTAAACACAAGTAGCAGAATACATTTTGACCAGGGGTGGACTGATCATTTGGAAACTCGGGCACTGTTTGAGGCCCTGGGGTCAGTAGGGGGCCCCATGAGATGCCCCTGGTACCTTTTTCACTTTTTCATAGGCTTTTTTGAGTTTGGGCAAGGACACAGGGGCCCCATGATCCCCTATTGCCCAGGGCCCCATGAGTTGTCAGTCCGCCCCTGATTTTGACCTAAATTTATGAAGAAATAAGATTTTTTTATAGGATATATTTTATAACAAAGTAGAAAAATATATATTTTTTTTAAATTTTCTGGATCTTTTTGGTTTATATAATAAAACATTTAAAAAACTCAGTGGTGATCAAATATCTCTGAAAGAAAGCTCTATTTGTGTGAAAAAAATATATATTACAGTACATTTCATTTGCTTACAGTTTTTCATGACCACACATTTGCCAGTGCTAAATAGCAAAACATGGTCTGGTCATGAACAGGGTAAAAAGCTTCTTGAGGTCAAGTGATTAATGCAATATGTTTCCATGTCAAATGAAGCGCATTTTTTATAATAATAAAAACTGTTAATGCAAAGTCAAAATTAAATGGATCCAAATCAATCTGGATCATTCGTTATGTTGTTACATTATTTCAGATGCTTCAAACATTAACAAAAGGCCCAAACTATCGCATCGTGTTGTGAAACAAATGAATTTGTTGTTTTGTTATAATGTATTTCGGATCTGCTAACATTTGTTAATATTGTAATTTGGAGACTCATATACAACCAAATCTTCGGACAACAAAAACGCTTTGTAAAGAAATGAATCATGCATGTCTACTCTTCTGCCACTATGCTAGCAAGTGTAGGATGTGCCTATTTAACCGCTTCCGCATCACCCTATAGTACAAATACTACTACAGGGCGGCAAGGGTGCGCAAAATCACGTATATATACACGATTTTGCAGTTCTGGGTAGGGGGTGCGTGAGCCCTATCGATGCCACTGCTATCAGGTCCCGGCCGGTTATGCTCCCGGCAATCTCTGAGGATTTTCAACAGGGGAGAGATCTGTATGTAAACAATACAGATCTCTCCCCTGTCAGCTCCTGCACACTACTTTGTATGGTTCTGCATAGCAGAGCCATACAAAGCAGTGTGCTTACAGTGAAACACAGCACACAATCCCATAGTAAAACAGCACACAGCTAACCGTTTGATCTCCCCAGATGTTAACCCCTTCCTGCTCAGTGTCATTAATACAGTGTCAGTGCTTTTTATTAGCACTGATCACTGTATTGGTGTCACTGGGGATGTGAGTGACACCAAGTCAGTTCCCCCAAGTGTCAGAATGCCCGCCGTAGTCCTGCTATAAGTCGCTGATTGCCGCCATTACTAGTAAACAAAAATAAAATTAAAAAAATTTAAGTATATATCCCACCATGTAGATGCTATAACATTCACGTAAACCAATTAATTTACACGTATTGGGATTTTTTTTAGCAAAGACATGTCGCAGAGTACATTTTGGCTTAAATTTATGACAAAATTAGATTTTTAAAACATTTTTTTACTGGATATGTTTAATAGCAAAAAGTCAAATATATAGTTTTTTTTTTTCAAAATTGTCGGTCTTATTTTGTTTATAGCGCAAGAAATAAAAAACACAGAGGAGAACAAATACCACCGAAAGAAAGCTCTATTTGTGGGAAAGAAAGGACTTAAATTTCATTTGGGTGCAGCATTGCATGACCGTGCAATTGTCAGTTAAAATAACGCAGTGGCATAACGTACAAAATGGCCTGTTCAGGAAGGGGGGTAAATCCTCTGGAGGGCAAGTGGTTAAAGTTATAATATAAGTTGACTCGTATGGAATGTTACCATGAATGTTACCCCACTTTTTCTGCAATTTATAAATAGAGAGTAATAGTAATTCTTACTTTTGCTAGAGAAAATGCTGTTCCAAGCTCCCAGTGCTTTCCCTATCACAGCTGGAGCGCATTGTATGGTTGCTATGACCTCGTCTTTTTGTAATTAGGAGGTTGGCTCATCCAAAAGCTCTTTTATTGGTCCTTCTAAACCAGTTAATCTAAGTTCAAAGGCCGGGGAGTGCATTATAGTTCCAATGATGAATTTCCACATTATTTCTCTGGGTGTGTGAACCTCAGACACTCAGGATTTGCCAAGAGCCCATGGCAGCAGCAAACTCTACTCCCTGAATACCAACATAACTTTCTTTCTTAAAAAGCATACAAATAGAAACATAAGCAAACCCTAAACAATGGTTACAATTTCCCTTTCAATGACTCAAGCCAAATTTAGCTCTATTTCCATTCACATAAACTGAGTGCTCATCCATATGTCACTTCATCAGACCTGTGAGCATTCCAAGCATGAGATAGACAAACATAAACACATTTACACATGGCTGGTTATTTGTAGAAGGAATGTCCATGTTGTTACAGTGGGTATAGAAAAGAATCACTCCCCTTTAAAAAAAAAAAACACATTTTGTTGATTTGCAGCCTGAAATGAAGACAGACACAGTTTTTGTTTACCTTCCAACATGACAATGACCCAAACCACACAGCAATAGTGACCACACAGTGATTGAAGGAGAAAAAGGTGAATGTCCTTGTATGGCCTAATCAGAGCCCAGACTTAAACCCCATTGAAAATCTGTGGAATGATTTGAAGACTGCACTCCACAAACGGTCACTATCAAATTTAACAGAACTTGAGCAGTTCTGCAAAGCAGAGTGGGCAAATATTGTTTAGATGTACAAAGTTAGTAAAGACATATCCCGGCAGCGTAAAGGCTGTAATAAAAGCAAGAGGTGGTTCAACAAAATACTGACACAAGGGGTTGATCCTCTTTCCAACTCAGTGATTCTGTTTTTGATTTTTACATTTTTTTCTGACATGTTGGTGTTATATCTTTCACTTGGATGTTATACGTTGCACTGAGTGAATACAGCTGGATAAATCAAAAACTGTGTCTGTCTTCATTTCTTTTGTTTTTAAACCAGAGTTTAACTCCTTTCCATCCAGCCTAAAGTAAAATGACAACCAAGCTGGACATTTGCAGTTCTGACATCCTCCCTAGAATGCCCCTTGTGAGATAGATCGTTTGTCAGATATATATACCATAGTTTGTGGAGGTTAACTTTCCTACAGACTAAATTATACACACTGATTTTGAGTTATTTTCACCAAATAAATGTAGCAGAATACATTTTAAAATATGATGAATTTAGATTTATGAAGAAAGATTATGTATTTGCAAAATTTGATTACAGATATGATGAAAAACATGATTTTTTTTTCAAAATTTTAGCTTTTTTTTTCATTTACTTAGCAAAAAATAAAAAACCCAGTGGTGATTAAAAACCACTAAAAGAAAGCTCTATTTGTCTGAAAAAAAAGATATTAATGTCAAATGCATACAGTATTGCATGTCCGCACAATTGCAATTGTTATTCAAAGTGCAATAAAATTGGCCTGTTGTGGAAAGGAGTGAAAGTGCCCAGTATTGAAGTGGTTAAAGACACATTTTCAAATGAAACTAACACATTTATATGTTTTAAGCAAATACAGAGAAATTATCTTACTTTTTATAGCATGTCAAGTTCTGAGCACATTCTCTGCAGTGGGTAGAGATCCAAAGGCCTGGGGGGAAAAATGGAAAAATTGAGGAAAAAAATTCTGTTTTTTTCCAAAGCCATTTTTTTGTTTTTTTTCTGGAAAAGATAAAAAAAAGGAGTGTGGAATACTGTATGTTCCTTTACAATGATAAATGATAAAAATAATAAATCTTTGACATGGTATTCAAATTATATAACATGAATAATTTAATGAAAGATTTGTGGGACTTTCTGTAAAGTCCTAAATTATTGCAAGTTCTCTCAGCTGAAGACTAGAGAATCCTGGAATACAGTTTAAGTAACACCGTACTTCTCAATGCAGTTCTCAAACAAGACAAATATGCATTTTTGCCACTATGAGGCACTACAGGGGAAAGAGTTCAGTTTAGTTTTTTTGTGGGCTCCATTTTGTATCCCCTACAGTTGGTTGATTGTTGGGATACAGTTGATGATAGTTTCTGTTCTCTCAGACCTTAATTGGCAGGTAAGAGGACGAATTTGACTGGCAAATTAGTTTACCTTTATAACCTTTAAACAATTCCCATTAATGTTCTCCACTATCACAGCATAATGTTTACCTATAGTCTGTTCAGTAAATTGATTTTTCTTTTTCACCTCTCAGAAAAATGGTGAAAGCAACATCTAGAGTTCGGAAACATTTCCACAGTGCAATTTCTGCTGAGAGCAAAGCTGCAATTTGCAAATATTGTGAGAAGAAATATTATTTTCCAAATGCTACAGAATGACAAAGCACATCCCTGCATGCCCAAGGTTCCCTAAAGACAATAAAAAATACTTTACGGAATGAAATGATGAGAACCATAAAGAAAGTGCAAGTAGCTTAAGATTTTAAAAAGCAAGTTTAGTTTAATTACTGAATAAGCTGTACTTTGAATTCAAGCATATTACTTTTAGATACACTGCATTTCACATTCCCAGTGTACCAAAAACAACTTTCAATTTGTAAAACTACTGCACACTGAATTAAAAAAAAAAATTAAATTTCCCTTTTTTTTCCCAGAAAAAAACAGGGAAAAAAACATTTTTTTTCCCATTTCTTTAACATTTCTGGAAATTTTACATCTCTAATAGGGTGTAATGCTCAGATTTGCTAACCTATGCTTCTCTTCATTCATCTGCTTGATAACCAGCATGGAACCACCATCGAACTGCTGAAAACCAGTGGGCTTTTTTTATCTGCGATATCTCCATTCAGGGAAACAAATTAAAATCACATTTTCTTTCCTCCTGTGCTCCTTATGTAGGATGTATTCATTTTTGTAAAAAATATACAGTAAGAAAGCTTCAGGATTTCTATAAAAGGATGGGAAGAATACAGTAACAATAATGGTCAACTCTTTTGAAAAGCTGTAAAAATAGACAGATTTTAAAGCAGAGTTCCACCCTATTTTTGACCTTTGCCCCCCCACGTTGCTGATCACAATAAAATTAATATATGAAGAGAGGAACGAGCGCTGGATATGATAGGATTCAAGCTGCTAGCATATAGGTAAACCTCGTATACCCCCTTCATCAAAAGTCAAATACAAAAAATTGCAGCGCTTGAGTGTATAATACAGGGAATTAACATGAATAGCAGATTTAAATGTTCATATTTCAACATGCACCAGAATCCACATTCTTAAATTGTTGTAAACAGTAATCAGATAAGTAATGAAGATCTATCCGACTAATCAAGGTGCATATAGTGATGGTGATGTTAAAATCATAAGTTCTGTGATGTATCCAAAAAAATCCGTGACTTCCGTGATAGGGGAATAACTGTATAATGCACTAACCAGATAGCGCAAGTACATGCGCATTGGAGTATAATGACCTACTCCTGGTCACAGCCAGATGGTCCTCAGCGTGAAGCCCTCAGGAACACCAGTGCACCACTCTTGCCGTCTCCTACCACCAGGGGGATAGGGGGATCCCTTAAGGGATAAGGACACCTCTCACACTCCACACCATTGATTATCCACTTGTTTCATGCATCTGACTGTCGGCCATCTTTTTGGATTCTATGCATCAGCTTTTTGGACATTACCATGTAAGTGTATTACTTACTTTTTACCTTTGAATAAAATACTACACTATCAAGATTTGTGCACCGTACTTTTCTTTTGGGTCTTATTGCTGAGCCCCTGAGCCCATGATCTCCTGATAAGAAAGTACACCAATCCTGGCGATAGAGGATATAAAGTGATTTCGTGTTACTGTAAAGAGGCGCACTCCCCCTGGTAACCCGGAAATTCTTTGCTATACCTCAGCACATCAAATTGTGTACCAAAACCTGTTGTGACCCAATCACAAAAAAATAATAATAATACTGATCAGCTATCCTCAAAGTAGTACAGCCCATGTCATGTGATTACTATGGTGAACATTTTTTTAATTTCTTCATGTTCCTTAAAATTATGTAAAAAAAAATTACAACTTCAAAAAACTCACCATGCCTCTTATGTAAAAAAAATACGTTGGACTGTCTACTTTGCTAAAAAGGGGATATCTGTAATGTTCTGACATTTTTGGGCCCCAAGAAATTAGATTGGCCATCAGTACTTCAGAATTGATCAATTTTCAGATATACCCCATAGTTTGTGAACTCTATAACTTTCCTACAGACTGAATAATAAATACTGATTTGGGTTATTTTCATCAAAGAAATGTATCTTGGCCTAAATTTATGAAGAACAATTATTTATTTGCAAACTTTTATAACAGAAACAAAGAAAA